TTGAATCGTTCAAGAACTTTGTTTATATAGGCTTCTTGACAGGCCTAAAAGGCCTCGAGTCCATCCCTATGGATCTTAATGCCAATGATATAAGATTTCTTACCCATATCTTTCATATCAAAGTTTTTTAAACAAGAATTGTTTTATCTCGTATAACAGTCCTAGATCATTAGTTGCAAGCAATATGTCATCAACTTATAAAATCATAAATATAATTTTGCTCCCACTAGCCTTCTGGTATATGTGCTCATCCATGATGTTCTCATCGAAACCAAATGATGTGATCACTTCATAGAACTTTAAATACCACTATTGTGAAGCTTGCTTTATACTATAGATTGATTTATTCAGCTTACACACCATATGTTCCTTGTCTTTTGCAACAAGTTCCTCAGGTTGCTTCATATAGACCTCTTCCTCAAGATCACCATTGAGAAATGTAATCTTAACATCCATTTGGTGTAACTCCAAGTCAAAATGTGTAACCAATGCCATGATGATGTGAAATGAATCTTTTGTTGATACAGGAAAAAAAAAAGTTTCTCTATTGTCGATTCCTTTTACTTGTGTGAAATCCTTAGCAACCAACCTTGCTTTGTAATGATCACTGTTACCTTATAAGTCTCTTTTGGTTTTGTAAACTCACTTATAGGCAGTAACTTTAGACCAATTAGGTAACTCTACAAACTCCCATACATGGTTGTTTGCTATTGAGTTCATTTCTTCAACCGTAGCATCATGCCACAATTTGAAGTTTTCATTTTTTATAGCCTGAGTAAACGCTAAAGGATCATTTTCAATACTCACATCATAGTCAATTGTAGCAGAGTACACAACATAGTCACTAGGTAATGCTAGTTTTCTCTCTCTAGTTAACCTTCTTAATTCAACTTCTAGAGTTGGTTCAGTTTGCTTATTAGGAACATTCCCTGTCACATTTTGTGGTGGTTTAGTTTGTGTGATAGGTTGATCAGCTTGCATATATTCCTAATATCTAGCATTATCAACTTGAGTTATGGGATCTACACTATGTTCTATGACAACTCCAACTGAAGAAGAGTCATTGACCATTGAAGTTCCCTCACCATTCATGTTAATGGCTCCTTCTACGTGATTATCTTTTATTTGATCAATCCCACTAAACATGTCATTCTCAAGAAACTTAGCATTCCTAGATTCTACAAAGCATTTTGAAGGAGAACAATAAAACTTATAGTCCTTAGACTTTTCTGCATAGCCTACAAAGTAAGCCCTTATAGTCTTAGAGTCCAATTTCTTTTCTTATGGATTATATACTCTTACTTCTGCAAGACAACCCCATACTTTCAAATGATTTAAACTGGATTTCCAAACTTTCTATATTTCAAAGGGAGTTTTATGCACTGCCTTTGTTAGAGCCCTATTTAATATCTATACAGCTGTCTTGAATGCTTCTTTCTATAGTGAAATTGGAAGTTTAGAGCTGCTCATCATGCTCCTAACCATGTTTAGTAAGGTTTTATTTCTTCTTTTAGTTACACTATTCATATATGGTAAGCCAGCTATAGTATATTGAGCAACTATACCCAACTTTCAAAGAAAATCTGTAGATGGACTAGGTGCTTGTCTTTTATTAGTGTACCTACCATAGTATTCACCACCTCTATTAGATCTCACAATTTTAATTAGTTTCCTAATTTGTTTTTCTACTTCTGCTTTGTATTCCTTAAAGACATCTAGTGCCTTACTTTTATTATAAAGCAAGTAGACATATATATATCGTGAATAATCATCAATAAAGGTAACAAAATACTTTTGACCGTGCACGGTTAAATCAGGACAGCAAACATCAGTATGTATAATCTCAAGCAATTTAGAATTTCTTTTAGCTCTTTTTTGTGACTTGTTGGTCTACTTTTCCTTTATGCAATCCACACAAGAATCAAATTCCAAATGGTCTAAGGATGGAAGAATTTCCTCCTTAGTTGACCTTTTGATTCTATCAATAGAGATATGCCCCAATCTCCTATGCCACAAACTAACAGAATTCTCATTGATGACACTATGTTTAATACCTCATAAAATAGTAAAAGATTGAACAGGATTACGAATTATTTTAAATAAATTACCAATCATTGCAATGTCTGTGATCTTAACATAATGTTTGCTAAAAAAACATAGAGTCCTTTTCAAGACATAAACCATAATCCAACAAAATTAACTTTGAAATAGAAATTAAGTTCCTTATGTAAGTTAGAATATGAAAAGTCTGAAGAAGGTCCACATGAGTATTATTTAAAAAAATGTGATAAGTTCCAACCAACTCCACACAGTCTGGGTTCCTGCTGCCTGATAGAACCCATTTCTCACTCTGATATAGTGGCTTGCTTGTTAAGAAGCCATGCATGGTTGTGAAAATGTGGATCATTAAACCAGTATCAATCCACCAAGTGTCATCATCAACATTAATAGTATGAGATTCTAAAGTAACATGAGAAGTAAACATATATTTATAGCTTTATATTATTAGTATCATTATAATGTTTAGAGAAAATTTTACCGTTTGGTATGTAATAAATGTGGAGTTTTGACAATATATAACCGTAGAAATTTAAAAATACATTATTAAGGAATTTTAATTAGTTTATATTTGTTCAATGATTGTTTTGAGAATTTTAAATGAAGATTTTAGTTGAAAAATTTGTTATTCAAAGATATAGAATGTTTTTACCAATTAAATTTAAGTTAAATAATTTATTTGAGTTATTTAATATATTATTGAGATTTTAATTAGTTTGAATATTGAATACATTAAAAATCTATTGTTGGAATGGTTTTTGAAAGCTTGAAAAATTGTAAATTGAGAATTTTTTGAAATTAACTAAAGTTTAGGTATGTTTATAATTCAAAGAAGTTATTTGGTTTGAGGAAAAATTTTAAAGGAGACTATAATAAATAATTGAGAATTTTAATATAAAATATTTAGATTTTGGGTAATAAAAATATATTCACTTACTTTATTAATTTTAAATAGTCTTATATGTAAATTATATTTTCAAAATGATATTATATCCATTATAAATAGTAAAATTTGGGAGAGTTCATATATTTTTTTAATTTTAGTTTAGAAGGTAGTCTTAGAATTTTAGAGTAGTTTTAATAATAGTTTTGAGTTTTATATTAATAAATATTTATGTGTAATTTTGTAGACTCTTGAAAATTTTGAAGTAATCATTGTGTGAATATTTGTAAGCTAAAGAGTAACAGGTAACTGTAAAATTTTTTTTATATATATGTGAATTGTGTATGATTATGTTATAGATTTATTAATTTTTATATCATACTGAAATATAATATTATGATTTTTCAAATAAATGTTTTGATATGTTACTTGATTTTGTTAAAACTTGTTGTCATTAATTATGATCAATATTTAAATATATTGATAGCTATAGAATTATCATGAGTTGTTGTTAAATGGTACAGAAATTTTATTGCTATTTTATTTTTAATAATATATTTGAGAATATATTTATGATGTGACATTATTTGTATATGACATATGTATTATTAGGCTAAGGATAGAAGGAGATTTGTATAGATATAAATTATCACGTGGTATGCCATTACTCGGTGCACAGTGGAAGGCACTTATCAGAACTTTTTTTTCATGTTTTTCTTTGGCCGGGAATTTATTGGAATTGTGAGACATATAACACATCTTTATTTTATTTGCAAAGAAGGGGAGTCATAATCCGAGCTTGAACTCTATATCTTTGGCTGGATATATCTCTAGTATCAGTAAATTTGAAATAATTTAGTAAAATAGATTAGTTCTTATTGGACTATGTATTAGTCTATGGCCTCAGTTAGCGGTATAAGGGTGGACGGTAATATAAGGGAGGCTATATATTGTATTATTTTTGGATATATTAGAAAAACAATGTTGGTATATTGTCGAATCAAAAATGAAATTGAGTTGAATGTATAAATCTGTGATTTTCATACATAAATATATATACATACACATATAAACGGATTTTTGTTTATCATATATGACTTGTTTGTATATGTTAGAATTTTAGTAGTTACTGAGATGTTTGATTTCATGCTTTATATTAATATTTTCAGGTGAATGATCTAGTAGGAATCAATGGAAAGCATTGATGAAGTGAGCCGTGAAGGCTTCTGTGCTCCTCAAGCACATTCTATGTTATATTTTTATTTACCATGACCATAAGATTTTAATATCTTATTTTGTTAAGTTGTGTCAGAAATGTTTTAAAATTATGACCTGTTTAAAGTGTTAGAAATACGTATAAACTTTTAAATAAAATATTTTGTCGTGCATATGGATATAATTAAGTGAGGTGTTTCACCTTTTCTTCCTTGTCATTGCAATTAGCGTTATGCCTTGCCTTTGGTCGTTTCATGAGAAAGAGGGGAAATGCTTTCTACCCCGTCCAACATAAAAGAAATAAATGGGAGAAACCTTTTGGTTAGGGTTTATACAACATTTTAAAATAATTTTTTTATATATTCATTATTTTAAAAATATTTTGTGATTTATTTATCATTTTAAAATTTTGTTTCAGATGCATCTCGCAACAAAAAAATATTTAGTAACTGAAATATTTTTTTAAGAATATTAAATGTTTTAAAATATTTTTTGATGTATTTTTATTTTAAAATATTAATTTGAAAAATATTCTAATATGCTCGTAAATTATAAAATAGTACTAGTTTAACACATGATTTTTTTTTGTTTTTTGGTTTTTTGGACCAGCCACATGAAAAAATTTCCTGCGACGCAGGATGTGCCTTTAACTAAACGGTTCAGTTTTCAAACAGGTTCAACTGAATTTCCCAAATCCATAAAATAACTCCTCCTTTGGATCAACCGGACGGAGGAGATCCAAGCAATTGACATACGGGGAAACAAAAAGCCATACTTGTAGAGTTGTAGTTATATACTTGCATATTCACACAAGGGTATAGGAGAAACCTGAAGCAGGGCGCGTTCAAGTTCTGAAAACCAGTTAACCGGGCAAGTGTCCTCTCTTCTACATTGCCCGACGACGGGAAATCGTACGTAAGTAGCGATGAGAACAAAATCTCCTGGTGGAGGCAGGGCTAAAATTTCTACAAAACCTTCCCACCCTACCGTAGGGACAATTTCTCTAGTGAGTCAGGTTCTGTTTCTGATTCTTGTGATGTTTGGAAACCGATTTTTCAACTCTGTTACGGTTCTGATTGGCTACTGAGAAAAACATATTTGACTGAAAATGCTGCTGAGCTTTTTGCTTCGTTGGTTAGGTGTCTCTGACGTAGGCTTGGGTGAGTCTGGTAATGTAATTTTGATTTGTTATGTGACTTTCTTTCCTTATTTTCATTCACCGTTTGTTATAATTCCTATTTTTGCTACTCGCACATGTAGTCTCACACATATCAATTGTTACGCGCGTCATTGTCGAAGGAGCTTGAGATTTTGGGAAATCTGTTTTGTTATTGTTTTCCAGCCTTCAAGGGTTTTATGGGGTTCTGATGATGAAATCCTATTGTAGATTGTGAATAATTTATTTTCCGATGACTCATTTCTTAAAATTTTTGAAATCGATGAAGGATGAAGACGATGCAGCGGTGCCTAAAACTTCTAATGAGAGCAATCGTGATCTGCTAGATGTTAGAAAGGTGGGATCAAAAGACCACGTAGATAATGTAATTGATGAGGATTCTAATAGAATCCTTCGTGAGAGTTTAGGTCATGACAACATTTTTAAAGATGTTGTGGATAGGAAGATTTGCATTCGTTGCAATGAAGGTGGAGAAATATTAGTTTGTTGTGAAAGTGGTTGTCCTGTTACTGTCCATGCAAAATGCATCAGCCGCGAACCTAAATTTGATGATATGGGAAACTACTACTGCCCTTATTGCTGGTTAAAACGAACACTGGCAGAAGTCCAAGTACTGAGGAATAAGGCCTTAACGGCGAAGAAAGATTTGTCAGACTTTTTGGATAGCAATGCAATTATGAGCAATAAATTGGCCCAAAAATATGAGGAAGCAAAAAGAAAAGAGTCCCACGAGTTATCCCTTGAGGGAAATGGGGTCTGCAGAGATTATAGGAGTAGGCAGGGAAATGGCCGTGCGTGCACACAGCCCTTGCAGAGAGTGGAAGATCAACAAAAGGAAATGCTAGGAGTGACTGCTAGTGCTGATCAACATGACATAGCAATTGAAGATGACACTCATGCAAATGCTCAAGTAGCCGATACTGGTGATTCTATGCATCATGGGGAAGAAAAGACACCAGCGCATACGGATCAGATTGATAAACCTATGGCCGGAGAGGAAGTTGATGTTCATAAAATTTCAGAAGCACATAAAACCGCGTCTGTTGAAGGAAAAGAGGGGATTGAGCCAGAGCACCCAAGATATAGTGATAAAAACGTTCATGAAGGGATTCCTGAGGATGAAGAGGAAGCATCTCCATCGAGTTCATGCCATTTGGGAAGGCACAAAGAGGGACTTTCACCTGATATTGCATTTGTCAAAGGGACACAAGAAAGTGTTGCAGTGACTGTAGATAACGAGGACACAAGGAAAGACAGAGAGAAGTTGCTCCAGAATGAATTAAGAGTGCCTTCTATGGATACTTCTATCAGTGAAACTAATGAGTCAGGTTCTGAAGCTCCCGTAGTGAAGAAAGGACGGATAAAACATATGGCACAGAGGCATCCTCAGAGAGTTAAGAATGCTGTGGGTGAAGATGGTTGTCACGAAGATGAGGAAGTTACCAGTTCTGGAACTTTTAGACACGCCCAGAAATCTTCTAAGCAAGGGTGACTAAGTCATTTCTGTTTATATGCCTGCATGCGATTATGCTTGTTCATATGATTTTTCATAGATTATTGTTTGAAAATTTAAATGGAATTATCTCATGTGATATTATTTACTGCTTGTATAGTATTGGCTTGTCCTCACTTTCAAGAAGTAGCTAAAGAGTTTATTTATTGCTCTCAATCGCAGTAAAAAACTGACCTTACCAACTAGAAAGCGGAAGAGACTACACTGGACAACTGAAGAAGAAAATAAACTAAAGGTATGAGTTTCATGAACGCATTCTAATTTCTGGAACTGAATGAAGTATGTACAATGCATTGACATAATTCATTTGATTATCTAGTTGTGAAATGGGTTCAGAGTTCAGACCCCTTATGATATATGATCATAACAAAAGATTCCTTCGTTCGAGCCTTCACTGTGTCTATATCTCTCACTCAGTAAGTTTGTCAGGTGTAGACACCCCCCCCGGGGGGGGTTTGAGTGGGAAAGATGTGATATTTGCTAGATCCAACAATTTCCCTTTGACTTAAACAAGAGCTTGATATGGTGCGGCTCACTCATTTTATGACAGAATTGACAGCATGGACAATTTACATGTTGATGAATTCCTTGGTAATTATTTTTATAAGGATTGAAACAAGAATGAATAAAGCATAATGATTATGCCCATGCAACAGCCCTGGATAATTCTTTTACTTATGCCATTCACCAATCTATCTGAATGGCGAGTTCAACATTCAGACTCTCATATGTCTGCTTAACTCTAGCAATCAATCCAGTTGTATGTTTCTACTTCTGAACTTACTTGAGTAGTTGAGGGATTTGTATTTTATGACTCTCAAAAACTGATGTTCTTAAACAGAACAAACCAAGATCTGAGCTATTTTGACCCATCCTGTGTATCTGAGTGTTTTTGTGCAGATTTAAGCAATACATATTCAAAAGTTGTTGTGAACCTTAATGTGTTCAAACAAAATTTATCAGAACAATCAATAATGACATAAATCAAAAAGAGATAATTGTGTTTTGATTCACGAAAATCATGTCGTAATTACCCTTATTTCCCTGAATCCGTAGCCTACTTTGGTTCATACATTGCAGGAAGGAGTTTTAAAATTCGCGAAGGAAAACCGGAATATCCCTTGGAGGAAAATTTTAGAATTTGGTTGTGATGTATTTGATAATACGCGCACCCCGGTTGATCTTAAGGATAAATGGAGGACCATGACAGCGGGGGCAGGTAAATTACTGTATGTAGTTTAATTGATGATTTATTTTCATAAGCCAATGAATTAATGAACAAGTAGACTTTGTAGCGGTTTCCACGGGTATCATAGTCATCTAAATTCAAAGTCCATGCATTAATGTGCTCGTTTAAGTTGAAAAATGAAATGAGAGAAGAGTGTATTTGCTGAGGCTCAGCTTACTCTACTCGATTGAGTCATTTCATTATATATGTGAGAACAACTTACAGAAAGAGTAAACTCAATAAGGAGAAATCTTGTTTAGCATTAAAATAATAGTAATGAATTGACTGAGTTTACAAGTTGTGCCTCTTGAAGTGTATAACTCAGTTCGTGCAAGTATTCAAGGAAGGCGATGATCTTGCATGGACCTTTATCTGCTGTGGATTCAATAAATTGGAATATTTTTATTCAATTCAAACATGGAAAATGAAATAAATGGACATAGAAATCAGTTCTAGTTTTACGGTGAATCAGTGATTTATGAGATTCTCATTTTTTTTCACATGATTATCTTCGCAGTTTATCATGCTTATCCTGACTTACCATGACCAATTGACTGCCTCTGTAAACAGGATTATAGCACCTTCAGTACAAGTAGCCTTCCTAATATTCGGAGCCTTTGTTTTCTTTGGACCAAGGGAAAAGGCAAGACGTTTGTCTCAGTCATGTTTTCTCAGTCTTTCAGGCTTTGAGGACTTAGTTTCTCATTTTCTTTACTCCTTGTTGCATGCTGACGGAATAACATGATATTGTAATATATCAAAGAAGTTAGTTGAGCGTTGGCCGGGGTGGTTAGGAGTGATGACCGTTAGCCTCGTATGACCATAAGTAGATAGACTAGGGATTAATTGTAATAGGTTTTTGGTTTAGGAAGTGTTTGGATAGAAACGAAACTATGATTTTAAAGGTGATTTTACGGTGTACAAAGTAAATATGTGAAGAAGTTTGTTTTGATTTGTAAAAAAAATATTTTTTAAAAGTATTTTCATGGTTTTTCAAACACTTTTTTAATGGAAAAATGATTCCCTTTTTCTCGAGATCTCTCTTCTTCTTTGTCTCTCGCTCCTCGCTCCTCCTCTCCTCTCTTCCCTTTCCTCTTATTTTTATGCATCACGTAGCTTCTAGGTTCTAGAACAAAATCCCTGGAGATGGGTTTCTCTCTCTCACGCACACACATTTTTTTTTTTTTGGGGGGCCAAAACGCATACGCACAGATGGGATTTAAAATGTGACGAGTGAAATTGTACCATTTAGAAACCCTTAATATACTCCTTCTATACATTGTAAGTGACTTCATTTACTTCATCAGAATTTTTTTTTTGCCAATTATTCCATCAGAATTAATAATTGATAGTTAACTCATTGAATTCTCAAATTAATTTTTTTGGTCAATTTTACCTGTACTAAATGAGGTTATGAAAGAGAGAAAACAATACATGAATTTACATTTAAGCATTAATTATAGGGAGAAAAATACAGATTTACATTTAAGCTTTAATTATAGAGGTAAAATTGATAAATAAATGTGAATTACTTTCCAACTAACTTATATTGTGCACTAATTTTTTTTATTTATAAAAGTGACTTATATTGTGAATGAGTGGCAATAATACAGTTTTCAAATGTTGTGGCACCAAAAATGCCTAATCTTTTATTCCAAGTTTGTTTTCTATAATTTAATTAAAGTTTTCTAATTTAATTTTTACTATTTTGAAATTGATCTATAATAAATTTTATTATTTGGAAGTCATGAATAATATACTTCATTTACTAAATTTCATATACTAATCGTTTAGTCCATGCTAATAACAATTTTTTGATATAAATAATTGTACATTATATTGGGATTTTTAATATATATGATAAGAAAAAAATTAATACAAATATTTTAAAATATCAAGACCCAACTCTACATTTATATACTATATGATGATCGTATTAAAATCTACATATATTATAAAATTTAAATATATATTTTCTTAAAAATTACATATTAATAGATTTGCAGGAGTTCATTCAAATGATTTGATGTTTGTTTATTTTTAAACAATATTTCGAATTTAAATATTAGGTGAGAAAATACCACTAAACACAAATATGGTATGCCTTGATTTTATTTGGAATTGAGGTCTAATAAAGCCATATAATATATTTCAATTCTCGATATAAAAGTGAGATAATTATGAATATTAAAAAAAATTAATTAATTTGATTATTTGTTACAAATATATGTTACTTTATCTAAACTATCATCCTCTTGTGCATGATATTAGATGATTGAAATTAGGAAAAATCCCATAAAAAAGTTTAAAATTACTAAATGTCAAATAAAAAAGTTTAACAAAAATTTGTTATTATTTACAAATTCAGTATTATCAAAACCAAATAAAGTGTTGTTATCAAATTTGATTTGAGATTTAATAATCTCAAGCTTTTTTTTATGGGATTCTCTTTTAAAATTATTCTTTGGTAGACATTCTTTACAATCAATAAGAATATTTTGAAAAAAAAAAGAACAAAAAAAATATTGAAATGTTATATGTATAATAAACACAAAAGAAAATTCTTAACACCAGTATGTTACTGGACACTGATATGATATGACTTCACTTTATTCGGAATTGAGGCCTGATATGACTTTCTTTTCTTTTTTTTAAATTTTTTTGAAGGAAAACTGAACACTATAAATTACCAAGAAACAAAGTAACAAACAGAGCAAGGCCAAAAGTCGGAAAACAAGTAAACAACAAAGGAAAGGAAAGAAAAGCTAAACTACCCTCTCTCATCAACCGCCGCCTCGTGCAAATAGGAAGGTGGGTGTATTTCCTTTTTTTTGAAGATACAAGAGAGACCCAAAAAAACAGACTCACAGAAGGCTACCCTACACTGGTATCCCAATCAAAAGGGAACCTCGACCCATCTGCCGAGAGAACGTGGTACCCAGGAGGCTGCTCAAGAGCTTTCTTGACGTATTCAGATCCCGATCTCTACAAAGCTTCAGCTTCTCTTGCCAACTTCGATTCATCATCTGATGAAATTCCATGATCTCCCCTCTGTTCAGATGCGCATCATTGCATCCTTCGCTGATGAGAGGGATCGCTTCCAAGCAATAATGTAATCACTCTAAAGGATAACTCTCCTTTTCCCCACATCCCGCGCTCTCTTCATTCCCGTCATGCTGGTCCACAATTCAGCAGTGAGGACACTACCTTCATGAAGCCTTCGATTCCATTGTTGTGGTCGTCCCAGAAGATACCCCCCGCACCTCGTTTTGTTACTGCCTTCTGAAAAGGCCCCATCCACCATGAGCTCGATCGACCCATCCTTCTTCTGCCGCAGCTTCCTGATCTCGTTGCAATCTGGGGACGCCCCTCAGCCCTCAGGTTTGTCTGTCTCTACCTCATGCCGGCATTTTGGAGAGTTCGAAGCAACGCCTTTGCATGGTGCGAGAGGTTGTCCATTGTTAAAGTCTCTGATCATTCCTTCTTTTCCACACGAATCAACAAGTAACAGTAAAGAAGTCTGCCCAGGCCCCCTCACTGGTCCCTCTAGTCTTTACAGAGAAAACACCATGGTTCTCTAGTTTCCATCTCACACCCTCGCTTCCGTCTGAGCTTATAGTACGTTCCAACCCCTTCTCGAAGTTCGACCACATGGCTTTAATCCCACTCCAGAACCTCGAGCATTTCTTAGTGTGGTTAATAACACTGGATGAAGATCTTCCCACTTATATATTTGCTCCTTACAACCCGACCCCTGAAAGCATCTTTCCTGTAAGGATGATTTACCCATATATAACTGGTTAATAATATGACTTCCTAAAGCCATGTAATATACAGAAGAAAATTCTTCTTCTTCTTCATCCCTTTTCAAACTCCAATTATCCCTGCCATTAGGTTATCTGTTTCAGTAAGGATGATAAGTTTTCTAACCACGAATGAACTGTATTTACTCGATAAGTGATATCTTCTTCTTTCTGGCAAAAAAAAAAAAAATAAATAAAAGAAAAGAAAGAAAGATGACATCTTCTTTTTACTCGGCTAACACGTGATTTTATTTTTAGAAATCGAATAAGTTCTTAGAGGACGGAAGATAGTATTAAGAACCGGATATATAAAAGAACAATCCATATTTCTATATCTTCGAACTTGTTTAGAATGATTTATAAAAAACATTGTAATGATAATTTATAGACTACGAAATGACTATACAATGAAAGTTTTGTTTTGACTTTAAGCACTTAATAGGCAGATCCAAAGTGTGTATTTGTCTATATATCTACTTATATTTATTAAAACCATTAAAAGCGTGACTTGCTGTTAAGCTGGCAGCTAGTTGTTGTCTTGTTGATACACACCCACATATACGGCCAATTGATAATTAATAATTGTTTGATTGATCATCTTCATCGTACCTCATCGGAGACTGGAGAAGCTGGGCTTCTTAATACCTGCGGCGATTTTCCAAATTCCGCGAAGATCAAAGGTTCTCTTGTCGGGAAATTGAATATAAATTGGGATGAGAAGAAGGACTCTTTGCGGAGGAAACGCTTTTACTTCGACAAAGCCCGTGCCTTTTACTGGGAGCGAGGTTCCTTACCTCGTAAGCCAGGTTCATCTTCTCATGTTTCTAGGGATTTAATGTTCCAACTTTCGCTTTAAAAAGTACCTTTTCCAATTCAATTTCTGTTCTGTTTGGCTGCTGAGAGAAAAATTCTTGAGTGGTGAAGCTGTTTAAATCTTAGTATATTTGGGTGGGAGTCTAAACTGTGAGCTTCCTGGAGTTGGGCAATGTGATTTCATTCTGTTTTGATGCTGCCAATCACTTATCTTGATGCTTTACCTTTTGGCTTACTTATTTGTCTTCCCGGGAATCCAGTGATATGATATATGGGTCTCCCTGGCCCCTATTTTTTATGGTTCTAATTTTAGTTCCTTAATGATTTATGAATTACTTAATTTTAAATGATTCATTTTATAAAATTTTTAAACTTGAAACAGAATGAAGACAATGTAGCTGTGCATAAAGCGTCAATTGAGACTAATCATGATATGGCAAATGTCAGAGAGGGTGTTTCAAAAGGAAATTTAAATAATGACATGGATGAGGGTTCCAACAGAAGTTCTCATGACTATTTAGATGATGACGATATGCGTTGGAATTTTTTGGGCAGAGAAAGCTGTTTCAGTTGTAATGAAGTTGGAGAAGTGTTAGTTTGCGCTGAGAGAGATTGCCCTATTAGTCTCCATGCGAAATGTTTATGCACTGAACCTAAATTTGATGATAAGGGGAACTTCTACTGTCCCTATTGCTGGTACAAACGAGCATGGGCAGAGGCTCAGGAATCCAGGAAAAAGGCCTTTTTAGCAAAGAAAGATTTGTCTAAATTCTTTACTCAAAATGGACTCACGAGTGACAAACTGGCAGAGAATGATGTGGAAGTTAAGACAAGGGGGCCCAAAGATGTCTCTGTTATGGGAAATGGGAGTGGTTTGGATTATCATGGTAGGCCAGGCAATAAGAGTGTTCCCAGTCATCCTTTGAAGACTTTGCAAGATCTTAAAAAACAAGGGGAAAGATTGATGGCTGGTACTGATCAAGATGGGATAGTAGTTGAACATACAGCCAATGCAAATGGTCCGGAAGCTAATATTTATGTTTCTAAACGTTATACAGAAGAAAACGCACCTGTACATACAAATCTGGATCATAAATCTAGTAACAGGGAGGAATTTGATATTCTCAATAATAACATTTCCAAAACACGTGAGACCAGATTTGTTGAAGGACAAGAGGGAGTAAAACTTGAAGATATAAGATATAATAATGAATATGTTTATGCAATGTTTGATGAGGATGTAAAACCTTTGACTGCTTTCCGTTTTGGTGAACCCTCAGATGGACACTTGCCTGATTATGCATTCTCCAAAGGGATGCAAGAAGGTAATGAAGCATATGTAGATATGGGCAGGGTGAAAGATAGAGAAAAGTTAGTCCAGAATAAATTAAATCTTCCTGCAACCGATTGTTCTGCTAGGGGAACTGGTGATTCAGATTTTGAGCCTCTGCCCATGAAGGAGAGTCATGTAAAACAAGGGGGGCAAAGGACAACATATACTCAGGGAGTTTCTTCTGTTAAATCATTGCCGTTGAAGAGTAGAACTGGGAGTAAAAATGCTCGTTGCAAAAATGAAGTTGTTGCCAATTCTGAAACTTCAGGGCTACCTCAGAGGTCTTCTATGCAGTGGTAAGCAGCTCATTTTGGTATATATGTATATAAACATATGTTATAACAGATTTATCTGTTATTCTCAGTTGCAGCCAGAAGCTGGCTTCAGAAACTGGAAAGCGCAAGAGATTAAAATGGACAGTTGAAGAAGAAAATATGCTGAGGGTATGTGTTTCATGAACTATATTTCTTGAACCAGATGAATCATGGATGCTACATGAACTAATTCAGCAGATTTCGGGCTATCCGTGGCAATGTCAAATGGGTTCTGATATAATTTCTAAGCTTTAACCATGAATAATCACTAATGATGTTTTAAGTTTAATGTATAAAACATTCATTCAAGTTCAAATAGAGTGAATTGCATTGTTCTTGAATTTCATAGTTGCACAAGGCTTTCTTGCCTTCGTTCACAGCATCAACTTTGGTTCTCACACTGCAGGAAGGAGTGTTAAAGTTCTCGATGGAACAGCAGAGTATCCCTTGGAAGAAAATTTTAGAATTTGGTTGTCATGTATTCCATAGCAAGCGTAACACTTCCGATCTGAAAGATAAATGGAAACATATGAGGGTATGAACGCCAAGGAATGCAACTTGCTGTCTGTAGATTTCATAGAATTTTTTTTTCCTAGATCAACTAAATAGGCGAGTGTTTCTTTGTTAATTTCTGGGTGACCCTCATGTTTTGTCACTCTTGAAACTATACATATGTATATATTCCCCCCCCCCTCCCGGAACTAGTGGCTTTAAGATCCAAAGAACAAAAAACGGACCGAACTAGCCAATGGTCCAGTTTGGTTTGGATATTGAACCCGAGGAAGTTGAATCAGTGGTGAACTGGTTTGGATGATTATGTTGTTATTTGTCTTATTTTTTCTCATTCAGCTTCTAATATTTCAGTCTCTATAGATTTAAATGCATTTTAATGATGATTTTGGTAATAATGAATTAATTTTAGTTCATAATGAACCATAAAGATCAAAATTCTCAATATTGTTATACTTGTTATTGTTACAATCAAACTATTGTTATATTTCCTTACATTTTGTTATTAGTGATTATTAATATTATTATATTTTGTTATTTTAATTACATTATATTATTTTAATGTGATTGGTTGGATCCCAAGTTGATCCCAGTCCGATCAACTGACGGTTGAACCACTATCTTAAACGGTTTAGTGTTCGGTTCGGTTTTTTTGTTCCTTATTAAGATTACAGCCATCTATATTTGCAAGAGTCATTCCATGATATATTTATTTTTTAAATGCTCAAGAAACTTGTGTTCACTGGGTGACAAGGTTCCTTCTTTTGAGTGTATAATCATAAGATCAAAATTCTCAATATTTTATACTTTGTTATTGTTACAATCAAACTATTGTTATATTTCCTTACATTTTGTTATTAGTGATTATTAATATTATTATATTTTGTTATTTTTAATTACATTATATTATTTTAATGTGATTGGTTGGATCCCAAGTTGATCCCAGTCCGATCAACTGGCGGTTGAACCACTACCTTAAACGGTTTTTAGTGTTCGGTTCGGTTTTTTTGTTCCTTATTAAGATTATAGCCATCTATATTTGCAAGAGTCATTCCATGATATATTTATTTTTTAAATGCTCAAGAAACTTGTGTTCACTGGGTGACAAGGTTCCTTCTTTGAGTGTATAATCATAACAAAGATTAAAAGACATGGATGTCACAGGTGTCAAATATGGCATTTAGTTGTTAGACGCCCTAGATCACTTGTTTGTGAGAATGGTTATCCAAAATTATTTTCACAAAAATATGACCTCAAATCTGTTTTAACTCTTCTTGTCAATCGTATGCATGAATAAGGATAAAATAAAATGAAGGTAAGTAAGAAAAATAACCTCCAATTTTTTTGGCATATATATTGACAATGTCTATTGATATCATTGCCGGAGTAGATCTCATGTGAAATTTTTCAATTTGATATGAGTGGCAATGGCTTTTAATCAACTAGTGGAGGTTGTTACTGAAATATGGTAATCCTCCGATCCTTAATATATAACCTAATTATTGAATTGATTTTGATCCTAAATATAAGACATATTTCTCATATTTATCAGTTTTCTTTAAATTACTCTTATGGAAAAACATGTCATATTTTTTATAATTAACTTATTGAATTGATTTTGATCCTAAATATAAGACATTTTCTCATATTTATCAGTTTCTTTAAATTACTCTTATGGAAAAAAATGTCATATTTTTTATAATTAACTAATTTATCTAATTTTTTTAATTTAATCAAATTAGTTAAATAGATATTATATTAAGGACCAAAGGAGTATCTTTTTTTTTTTTGTTCAAAATGGATGGCATTGTAAAATGAGTCTTACCATAATTTTTTATCGTTATATTAATGATACCGATATCATTAAAAAAATTAAAACGAACATATCCGAAAAAATATAAAATATAAATTTAAAAGTAGTATGATTTAATGTTATGACTTGTTTTCAATTTAATTCATGTATTTTGTTGGTATTCATATTTTTTATGTTTCATTCTACACATCTATTTCATAGCATCTTGCATAATTTATTTTAAATATACTACCTCCAGTTCTAATTATAAAAGCTAGTTGACTAACTTGAGAAAATTAAAGAAATAAGTTAAGTTAGTTATTTGTAATAAGTAGATGTTGTCTTTTCTAAAAATATCCTTGCTAATCAAATTTATTAGCTAGAACTATCATTATTAGAGGAACTATCTTGGAAAAGAATGTATAAATATGAGAGATAAAGTACATTGAGATCTTATAATTAGAATCAAAATAAAAGTTAAATAAAATCTTATATTAAAGACCAGAGGTAGTATTTCAATAGATTTTAAATAAGAAGATAAATATAATTTCTTAAAAATGTTTAAAAATTATTGTCTTCAACGACCGTGACTCAATGGCTGAGTTTAAATTTCTTCGACAAATATTTCGGATTCAGCGCGTAAACAAGGCCGAAGCTTCTTCCTGCTGAACGTGAGAAGGATCGTGCTTTGATCCTCATAATCCAGCGACAGCAACGCCGATTTTTATAGGGGCATAGTTAGGATTTTGCCTGTGACGTTTTCTCAAGCAGCAGCTTCAGGTCTTTTCTATCTCGGCTTGAAGCTCTTATGCTTGTTGATGGAGGACCGATCTTGATATGCCAGTGACTCCTAATTTAACTTATTCTGCCTGCCGCTTATTTTTTTAGCTTTAGCAGAAATTGTCGCAATCCTAAAATGTCTGCCTTCTTCTGGTTGGGTACTGATTTCAGTACTACTATTAATTATTAATTATTTGAGAATTTTCTATGGCAGAGTTGATCTGGTTTGTTTAGAATTGAAGTTTATTTCTAAGTTCATGCAACAAACAATAATACTGCGAACTAACTAATATGTCGATACATCTCGGCGCTGAAGCATTGGCATTAATTTTTATATTTACATTATGTTATAAGTTTTGATTATATTTGACTTTAGTATGCCCTAGATTTGTGATATAGGTGCACGCTTATAGTCCCCCATTTGGTATGATACTGGTACCCGATGGATAACATCTGAAAATCCTACATTCATATTTTTGCTTGTTTCATTTGAGTGCTCCTGCGGCTTTAAATGTCATACTAGCATCAACGATGCGTCCTGAGCTAATCTACTGACTAGAGTTGGTTAGGTTAAAATCGTGGGAATAATTCAATGTGACCGAAAATGCCAGCATACCATCAATTGTTCAGTTCGCATTGCTAGCAAACTGACAAGCCAAGTGCAATGCATTTATCGACTAAGATTGGGTGGATGTATAAGCAAACTGAGTTAAACTTGAAAAATCTCTTAGGAGACTCTTTAGCGAACTGATAAGTTTGATTTTTATTGTTTTATTGATAATGCTTACTAGGGTATAACTTCTTCTACATTATCCTCCAGAGACAAATCGGGAAGGCTGAAGTTACTTGGGTGTTGTCATTGTTAGGCCTCGTTTCTCTTCTGCTTTCTATCACAGTTTACAATATTTTCTTCACCTTATTTTTAGTTAGGTAATTGCATTATAATAGGCTGATTTCCTACAGCCTGTTTGGTATGGCATGGAAGAGGATTCTGTTTCCAATACACAGAAGAAGATATATGTAATGGCTATCTTACTCTTATTGACATTTCTCAACCATGAATACCCCTTTTCATTACTATATTTTAGCCAGGGGTGTTCATCTTCATTCCTTTTTTTCCCTTCTATACCAAACATTTTGCTACCATACAGGCTCTCAATGTAAATAGATATGCATACATAGATATGTATGTATATATGTGTTTGTGCATGCATACAGACACATATATGTAATTTTGTACAAGCTAGATTAATCATAAGTTATAAATAGTATGACTTCTCTCTGTAGTTCACCTGATGTGTATTGCAGCTTGTATTGGGCTCCATGTATCTATTCGTTCTATCTATATTTTTTTCATTTTCATATCTTTTTCCTTCTTTTTTTTAACTTTTTGTCTTCTTATTAAGCTATTATGTTAAATTGATGACATGGATTTTTGTTTTGTCAGATTTGATTTATATCCCGTGAAGGATAAGAAAGATGGAGCCGGAGGTAGTGGAGGCAGAGCTAGTTTTACCATCCTATCTCAGTTTTAAGCGGGTACAAACATATGAGAAATATCCCAAAGGCCAAGCCCGTGGCCGGCACTGGAAACATCTTAAGCAGATTCTTCAAGCTGAGAACTACCAGAATTACTCACCTGATGAACCCAACTGTGAGCTCTTAGAGCCAATGTCCTTTTTCTTTTTTGGAGAGGAAACCTTTTTTTTTCTTTTTTCAATTTCTGTTATACCCAATGTTGTGTATTCTGCTCCATGTACTCTCAATCTTTTTATGTTTTTGTTCTTTTATATAAGTTTTATTTTATTTTATTATTTAGAATTGGAACTGCATAAGAGGTTTTTGGAACGATAACAATTCTATTGTTAGTCAATCTAATGTTAAAATGCTTGTTAAATACGTATTATTTGATCAAGAGTTATTAAGAAAGGCAAGATCTGGTTCTTCAGTTAATTTTCCTTGTATGTGCCAGAGTTTCATACAAATTTTTAAAGCCTGAGCCTGAGACTGTTTCCTAATTTTAATTTTTCGTTCTATTATCCTTTTGAGTGACGATATTGAAGCTTCTATTTTGATCTCTTTGCGGGATTTTCTTGCAGATGTGAATATTGAGTCACCACCTTCTTTTTTATCAATTTGGCTAAATCTCTTATATTATAAGTGATTTATGGTTCTTTAACTTCATTGCTTTGGATTATGGTTATTAGGCTTGTCTGTGATCTCATTAAAACGTGCTTACATGTTCCTCGTTATTATGATGCCCAACTTACAGACAGTTATCCTTGTCACTTTTTATTCACGTCTGTAAGGACATGTTTATTATGCGCGGCCGGCGCTGTTTGTTCATTTATTTTATATCCCACATATTCAAGCTTATACAGCATCATTAGACCTTGTATTGCTGAAGAATTAATTAGTTGAGTTCACTCTGCAGGCACCCTACTATGATCCCAGGACTAAACTACGGTATGCAAATACTGAAGTTTTCAAGACTGTCAGTCGCTTCCTAATGAGTATGTGCAGAGGTACTTAGCCTTGAGGAATGCTGCGGTTGTTCTGAAGTAACCAGGCAACTTTTGAGTACTTTCTCTTCAAAATTTCATGTTTTTCGATCCTTAAAAAGGTTTTGAAATAGGCTAGTTGATGGAACATTGTTCTGAGGGATAACATTGCAGAGAACTACTTATTCATCAATCCGCTTGTAAGAAATGAATATTTGCATATTATTTAATAGCTATTGAACCTGTATGAAAGCATTTGATTGCCTGCTCTTTGGAGACTTCAACAAAAATTAAATCACAAAAAATTACATGTTGCAGACTTCCAGTGTTAATTCTCAGTTGGCCCCTAAATTTCATGTATGTTATAATGTTAAATTGAGCTTTTGATGATAGTTACAGCGAATTTTTATTTGGTCCCTCTACTTCATTCCCCTCTGACTTGGTCCCTGTAGTTACAGATGTTAGGAAAAGATCCTCGCCTATCTTGTCTGTGAAAATGATGTCAATTTTGTGCAAGCATGGCATAAAGGAAGTCCTCTACATTGCTACTCAGACCATGTGGCCTTCCAAGCCAACCAACACACTGCCACCTAGTTACACGTTGCAAGAGAAAGTACAATGACTCCTTCTTATAACCTCTGAAAAACCATAGTGTCTCGCGGAGAAATATTTTAAAATGAAGATGTGTGTCTATTGAGAAGTTCTTATAAATCCAAAAAACATAGAAGTCACTAAAACCATACCTTTATAAATTTATAATACTAAAGACGTCTTTAAAAGGTTATAAGGTGTGACAACCACTATTTCATGAAAGAAGCGTTAATTTAAAGAAACACTAGGTATTGAAAGGATGACATTGTTCATGAAAAAGTTAGTTTTGATTATCTTTGATTATAAAGTTATTTAAAAGGATTATGATGTTAATACATCTCTTTCACCAAAAAGGACAACATAGAATATCGGGCTACTTTCAAACAAATTTAACAAGCTAACAGACTTTTCTTAATATATGTAAGATGATAAGAGGCACATCATATTTAGGATGGGATGAAGTTTCTCACTTTCCTCCTATTTAATTAAGGGTATAAGATGTAAAAGTAAATGGTTCCTTGATTTTGGGAAAGTATCGTCATTTTGGGACACTAAAAATTTTAAGGATGTGTCCTACATTTGGAACAAGGGAGTAGCTATTTCAGGATATTCTAAATTAGAATTGAGTTTATTCGATTGAAGTAAGGAATATTCTTTTCCAAAATTAAAGTGGTCTTCATTATCCTCTTGCTATTTATTGTGCTGCCATTAAAAGACTGCTTGGATTTTTGTTGGTGCGTTGGATTTGTTGTCATGCGAAATCACGATTGATCATCTTTGGTGAAAACCATTATTGCACTGATATTTTCTGTAATAAACTATAATCACCACATCTCCCGAAACTTAATTATGATTTATCATTATACAGAGTAGTATTTACTTGTTTACGAATTTCAGTGTCGTGGCTTTGGGAAAGGCTTGACTTGGACTTCCATTTTGTTTGTACTAGTTTTGATCAATGCGGAAAATGTAGTACGTTTATTGTTTTCTAATCAAAATAATAAGAAAATACTTAGGTCAAGTTTTTTTCCTTATTATAAGCTTTAAATAACTAATATTTTAAAAGTAGGATATAAATATGCAAGTATAATTAGATAACTTGACATTATACTTTCTTAGTCTTAAATGTAATATTTATTTTGTAGTGTAAAATAAGTCTTATACTATCTCTAATCCTTAATATAAGATATTGTTTGATTTTTATTTTGATCCTAAATATAAGATCCCAATTCACTTTGTCTCTCATATTTATGTTTTTTTTTAAGACAGTCCTTCTAATAATAATAGCTCTAACCAATACACATAATTAGTAAGGATATTTTAGGAAAAACAACACATATTTATTACAAATAACTAACTTAACTTTTTTTCTCAATCTCTTTAAATTAGTCAACTAGCTCTTATAATTAGGACCGGAGATAGTGTTTAATATTAGAGGAATGGATATAAGAAACTTGTTAAAAGTATTATTCGATAATTTTTACCCCCTTAACTCATTGCTTATGGCGCTTTGTTTGTGGCCTAGAAGACTTCTCTCGCAATAGTCTCCTCGACTGCTTCTTCTGCCTTGCTAGTTCTTAAGATTCTTCTGAGATTCAAACACAGCAGCGTTAGATACATGCAGTCACAAGCGTCGAAGCCCAACGCATCCCACAGCATTCAAATCCGTGCTCCTTCTGCATCCTCGCTAGCCATTAATCCATGCTTATTTTCTTCTTCCTGTCTTATCTTTGACTTGCCATTCTTATATTCAATTTCAATCTTTCTTCGTTCTCCCTTGATTTGTTGTTCATGTGCTGAATAAGTTACACCGAAATCCATCGTCCTGTAATTGCTCTCTTTGGTTTTTTTTTTTTTGAATGAATGGGGTGCTATAATTCCAAATTCTTAAAAATAAATTAATGCAGTCCTGATCTACGGTTGTGCTCAGCTCGAGTCAGACGACCAGGCGACGGGAACTTTTCATAGCCCGTTCCTACTTTCAGAACAGACCACAAAGCTAGGTAAGCCCTATCGACGCTGATATCGAGATGACAGTATTACAGTGGCATTGTTGCCTTCCCACTATTACAGAAATTCTCATTGTCCCCACTAACTCTCATCATCACAACCATCTTTCAAAGGACAAAACGATTTACACGTTTGAGTTCCAATTCCATCGGTTGTGGCATGGAACCATGGTCCATCGATTTTGGTAGGAGTGAGTTCTATAGAGAATCGTATTCTTGGCTACTAAGAGTGTGTTTGAATTAACAGTGAAAAAGTTTTTTTTTTTACTCTGACTTTTACAAAGGTCAGATTAGATAAAAGTCAGATAGTATAATGTGATTTATGTTTGAATTGACTTTTATAAAAATGTCAGTTTGAAAAGCTGAAATTTGTTTAGATAATTAATAAAAAATAAGTTTAGATGTAAAATGAGTAAAAAAGATATGAACATTATTAAATAATAATGTGATAATTTTAAGAAAAATATTAAAATTATAACGGTAAAGGTGTAGTTTTAGTCCTAATCTTATTTTTCAAGTGCACTCAACATTTTTATATTTTTAGTGGTATAATTTTACTCATGATCATTTTTTGTGTGTATAATTTTACCTATGAATTTTTGTTTAATGCAATTTTGCCTGTGATTTTTTTTTTCTAGCATTTGGTAACCTATTCTCATGGTCTTATTTTAAAAGTTATCTATTCTCATGGTCTTATTTTCTCTCTGCATAGTGGGTGATGTGAAATGGTAAAAGCAATAAATTTTAGCTTTTGAGATACTGCGACTTTTGCATCATAAACTCATTTTGATGTATCGTGAATCCAAACATTAATTTAAGCCTTATCGTGCTTTTTTTCTCCTTCAACGTGTGATACCACCTCCAGAACGCTTTACCAAACACACCCTAAATACACCAAGTACATGGTTTTAGTTAGGGGTGCACATGGGCAGGGCTGGGCAGGACAGGACCCCTGCCCGATGCCCGGCCCGAGATATGAACGGGCTGCATTTTGCAGCCCGCTGCCCGGCCCTGCCCATAGAAGCCCTAACCATTTTGGGCTAGGCGTGGGCGGGCTGGGCAGGGCGGGCTTCGTTGCCCAAATAGTGATAACCTGCCAATATCACATGTAAAAAAACTTTCGTCCATAACTAAAAATTACATTTCATAATTTTACATTTTCGCACATTGAAATTATCCAGAAATAATTTAAAACAAGTCTTAGCAAATATCTAAATAAATAATATTTATAATCCATTTAGAACAAAACAACTCTCAAGATTGTAATTAAAGCCTTGAAATTCAAACGGTTTGCGTCAATCTCCATACAGTTGAGAAAAGAATAAAGCATTTAAAAAAAATTGAAGAGGGGTTGAAGCACATTGAGATATTCCATTGAGGGTTGGAAATGGCAATGTAATAGAAGCTTGATTATCCATTCAAGTGGCAAAAATTAAATGTTACCTAAAGGATTGTAAAAAGATATTAAAACTAAAGCAATGGGTTAAAAGGAATAATATAGACCATATAAAAATATGGTGAAATAATTGTAAAAAGATAAATAAAAAATCTTAAAATCTTATAATAATTTAATATAACCACTTTTAACATGCAAACACTTATTATGTGATACAATGCAGTTAGTAGTCCTTACAACTAAAAGACTTCTTTCCATCATATGATTTGTTCATAAAAAATTAATACAAAATAACTAAATATAAATTAAATAAAAAATAAAACATATAATTCATATAATCGAACCCTAATTTTCTTTCTCTGCTCCTACCCCAATCTTGTTTTCTATCTTGTATAAATATTCAAAATTGTTGATTTATACAAATATGTAATGTATGAACTCCATTCTCTAACGAAGAAAGTTGTTAATGGCATATAAGGGAAGACGGGCTTATAAATAACCAACATTACAACAGCAACACACAATAGGATGTACTCAATAAAGCTCATGAAGAACAAGTTAAAAGCAAGATACTATTGCTTTTTTAGAAAAATTAGATCCCTAAGATGGAAAACTAACAGACATGTAACAATAATAAATTAAATTGCAAAGAGGAGGGAATAACTTTTTTTTGGGTAAAGAAATGTAATATATTAATATTATTTTATAAATTATAATATATATATAAATATAATCTGGGCAGGGCCAAATGGGCAGGGCAGCATGTCCTGCCCGATGCCCAGCCCTGCCCATGAAATGCCCAACCCAAAGATGCCCATTCTTTTTCGGGCTCCTTTTTTTCGGGCTGGGCAGGACAATTTTTCTTCGGGCTTGGGCGGGCTTAGTGGGCATTTGGGCTTCATGCACACCCCTAGTTTTAGTTCTATTTCCACTTCCCTTACCAAATGGGGCATTAGAGTGCAGATTGGACATATCTTATTCCGAATTTGCCTTCATTTTGAAAAGAAGGCTTTTATACTTTTACGAGACATGACTTTTCTTGTAAATTTATTTTGTAAAATCACTTAAAATGAAATAAACCAAACAAGCAACAATTTTGTTTTCATGCACAATTTTTTTCATGATTTTGTATTCCAACTGAAAGGATCTAAATAACAGAGTTTACCGGTCGCCTTCTAAGGAGATGCATTAGGATTATTTTCTTTTATAAGTGGATGGTATACTTAATTTTTTTTTTGGACTCAGGATGGTATACTTAATTTAAACCAACAAAAAAAAGTCTATTCCTATTCCCAAAACAATCTCAACATGGGTGAACAAACTACCGAAGTCCACGCCTAGACTTTATCCTCCCTTTTTTTCACCAGCAAGCCACAGCTCGCCTTCCCAATTTTTAAGGGTCTTCCTTCGAAAAGTGTAGCTACCCAACTCATCTTCTTTCTTTGTTTTTGGTTCAAAAAGCTGAATTCAAACTCACGGCAATTTCGAATTTTTTAATGAAATTATTGCCAGTTTGAGAATGAGAAATTATTAAAGCCGTTAGTTTTTAACAACCCTATAAAATAAAAAAAATTATAATAGTTTATTCTATTCACAAGTTATAAACTAACCTTTTAAATCCTAAATTTCAGGTAAACATGTGAGAGTTAAATTGCTTTCATAATCTTACATTTTATAGATTATGTTACATTGCTACATTTAGTTATAAATTTGATTTGATACTGATTTTTTATAATATAATTAAAAATGAAAAAAATGTTAATTTGATAGTGAAATTGAAAATTCAATTCTAGAATTTAGAGTTAATAATTGAGAGAAGAAAAGCATGTGCACAGGAATAAGACTTTTTGGCGTTCCAATGTCTCCTTCGCTATGATTTAAAGGTTATGATTTGAAGGCAAAGTCACATTCTCAACGGTGCAGCTCTGTCCACATTTTGTGCTCCCATACCCAATCATTTACTTAATATATTTATTTAAGGGATATTGCTTTTACTATTATTTTGGTGTTTCTTTATATCTAAGTTTATTTGTTTAATAAAACCTTTAATAAAAGCATTAGCATAGGTTTATAACCAAATAGTTGGAAAGAGATTTGGAATTAAACTGATGCTTCGAGTTTAAGAAATTTCTGCACATTCTTTTAGAGCATAATCTAATCTAATATTAATGCCCTTTATTTGATGTTTAGAAGAAAAAAATCAAATACTAAATCTTTTATATATAGATATATGTGCGTACTTTTTGGCCAAAATATATATTTGATATGCTTGATTTTAATAAAATGAATACAAGTGGATTTTAAAAGTCACGATACTATTAACTGAAGTTAGTTGATGGCTAGATTATAGGATTAACAAAATATACACTTGTCATGATATGATTGAAACAAGTAGTTTAAATTTATAAAATTAAGTATATAGATTTTCTCTTATCCTATATATGGATGAGAAGAAAATTAAGGAGGACAGAATATTAAGAGAGAAAAAAAACTCTTTAATATTAATATTTTCTTTCTTATTTTTTTATTTTCTCTCCATCCAAATATAACTTTAATTTTTAATGTTGACGTAATTAATTAAGTTAAATTGATATTGTAGTTATGGCATAAAACTTCTTTCGTTTTCATACCTTTTTTTTTTTATAAACTTATTTTTTTAACACCTTTAAATGTAATTATAGATTGCCAATCAATAAATTATTTGTGAAATTTAAATACCTGTATAAATTATGGATTATGCTCTTGAAGTAGATTAACCTTTGTGAGTCATAGGACTTCGTCCATCTAAAAGGAAAATTATTCAACTGTCTTTTATTTAAAAAAGAAAATTATCAAAATCTGATCTTTAATTAAAGAACACAATTAACATAATAACACTTTCTATTTTTACGGATTGTGGTTAGAAATTTTAGGGATTATGGTTGGGTTGGTAGGATAGTTTCACATAAAAAATTGATTAAGTTATTCAAAATTTTTTAATCTTATTAAAAATTAAAATTTTTATACATTACGAAATCTATGATATTTAATAGGCCTATTAAAGTGTTTATATGGGGATGGTTTATTATATGCAAAATGAATTTTATGTTTTAAATGTTTATATTTATTTTAAACATTATTTTATAATACATACTAATTATAATCATAAATATTATTTATTTAAATATAATTTTAATGTGACCAAGACTAGTTCCTGCTCCGCATTATAATCAACAAATTCTCACTCATCCGCCTTTCCATATGAAATTCCGTTTGAAATGTAAATTATTAGATTAATTTACTCTAAATATTAATTAAAACATTTTTTTATTTTTCCAACAAAAAAATTAAAATATTAAAGAAAGAATGAACGGTGCCCTTTATTTGATATGCTTGATTTTAATAAAATGAATACAAGTGGATTTTAAAAGTCACGATACTATTAACTGAAGTTAGTTGATGGCTAGATTATAGGATTAACAAAATATACACTTGTCATGATATGATTGAAACAAGTAGTTTAAATTTATAAAATTAAGTATATAGATTTTCTCTTATCCTATATGGATGAGAAGAAAATTAAGGAGGACAGAATATTAAGAGAAAAAAAACTTCTTAATATGAATATTTTCTTTCTTATTTTTCCCTTCATCCAAATACAACTTTAATGTTTAATATTGACGTGGTTAATTGAGTTAAATTGATATCGTAGTTATGGAATTATTCAAATGTGTTTTATTTAAGAAAGAAAATTATCAAAGTCTGATCTTTAATTAAAGAACAAAATTCAAAGTCTGATCTTTAATCAAAAAACAAAATTAATATTAGAAAACTTTCTATTTTTACGGATTGTGATTAGAAATTTTAGGAATCATGTTTAGTTTGGTAGGATAGTTTCACATAAAAAATTGATTAAATTATTCAAATTTTTTTAATCTTATTAAAAATTAAAATTTTTATACATTACCAAATCTATCATATTTAATCTAACAGAGTGTTTTTATGAGGATGGTTTGTTATATACAAACTGAATTTTCTGTTTTGAATATTTATATTTATTTTGAACATTATTTTATATAACACATACTAATTATAATCATAAATATTATTTATTTTCTAATATAATTTTAATGTGATCAATACATTTAAATCTTTTCAAATAGTAAGACTAAGACTTGTTCCTGCTCCGCATTTAATCAACAAATTCTCACTCATCCGCATTTCATTATGAAATTCAGTTTGAAATGTAACATTAATTTACTCTAAATAATAATTAAAACATATTTTTTTAATTTTCCAACGAAAAAATTAAAATACTAAAGAAAGAATGAACGGTGCAAAACGATTTCAACCTTCAAATAACCAAAATCACTTCACAGGTATTTTCACGTGACCCCACCCGCAATTTGCAACGCTCTTCCCGAACCTCAAACGGCGTCCACTTGGTTTTCCTTGCAGAATTTCAGATCTGCCTCGCCATCTCTTCTCTGTCGTTTTGCAAATTTCTCCATAAAAAACAACAAAAATTATAAAATGCAGGCCAAAACAATATCGGCCATCTCCATCACATAAATTAGTCCTATAAATATTCATAATTATTTGGAGGAAATCTCGCATTCCATTTTCTATTACTATTATTCTGACCACAATCTCAGTAATATCTCCTAGAGTACAGAACACCACACAGCAGCGCTTAATGCAATGGCGTCTACTGCTGCTATCGGTGTTCTGAAAGCTCCATCATCATCTGTTTCTTCTTCTTCTTCTTCATTATCTAGTGGGTCTGGCAAGAAAGCCATTTCTAGGAGTCTGTGTTTCTCGGCTTCACAGCTTTGTGGAGATAAGATCGCCGCAGTTTCAGTGGGAGGCGGCGGCTCTGGCTGCCGCAAGCCGGTGATTGTATCTCCCAGGGCTGTTTCTGATTCTAAGAACTCCCAGACATGTCTTGACCCGGATGCTAGCCGTGTGAGTTTTGCGTCTCTGTTTTTAACATGGGCTTGTTCAAATTAATTTTCTTTCGCTCAAATGAGCAGTAAAATGCTCTTTTTATGTTAGTTTCTCGCGGCATGTGACTAATGAGTGTCAAATTGGACTTTTTATTCTTATAGCATTATCTGATCGCCATGCTGATTTAATGGGATTTCATGCTAAATTACTGGAAATAATAAGAGTGATTTTTCCTTTGGTTTCTTCAGAATTCTGAATGAGACCATGACGATTCTTCTTCTTATAGCCAAATAATAGATTGCATTGATATTAAGCATGTGTTTTTGGGCCCTGCAATTGAATTTCATGAGAACCGGCTTCGACTGAATTGCTGTATATGTTTTTATCATAATATTCAGAGTGTACTCGGCATCATACTTGGAGGTGGTGCTGGAACTCGTCTTTACCCATTGACTAAGAAGAGGGCAAAACCAGCCGTTCCTCTTGGAGCAAACTACAGGCTGATTGATATCCCTGTAAGCAACTGCCTAAATAGCAATATATCCAAGATCTATGTTCTCACACAATTCAATTCTGCATCCCTCAATCGTCACCTTTCCCGTGCATATGCAAGCAACATGGGTGGCTACAAAAATGAGGGTTTCGTTGAGGTTCTTGCTGCTCAGCAAAGTCCAGAAAACCCAAATTGGTTCCAGGTAATATAACCATCTTAGCCCTAAACGTGTTATTGTCGATCCTCAACAATCTTAATCTTTTCAAATGTAAAAATCTAGCAATTACTGTTCATCTTAATTTGTTGAAATTTTTAATGGCCTTCATCATGATTGCTGTAAGTGAATTTTGATCAACTTCGATTTCATCATTGTAGGGCACTGCAGACGCTGTTAGGCAATATTTATGGCTATTTGAGGAGCACAATGTGTTGGAATTCTTAGTTCTGGCTGGTGACCATTTGTACCGAATGGACTATGAGAAATTTATTCAAGCACACCGAGAAACTGATGCTGATATTACTGTGGCTGCATTGCCGATGGATGAAAAGCGTGCCACTGCATTTGGTCTGATGAAGATCGATGAAGAAGGACGTATTATTGAATTTGCTGAAAAGCCAAAAGGAGAACAACTGAAAGCTATGAAGGTAAACCCCGTAAAATGTGCCTTTCATGTTACTTAACCTGGTAAGTTAATTATTCAATTGATCAATGTTTGTGTCAATTTTTTCTCTACCAGGTTGATACTACTATTCTGGGTCTTGATGATGAGAGAGCGAAAGAAATGCCTTTTATTGCTAGCATGGGTATATATGTTGTCAGCAAACATGTGATGCTAGATCTTCTCAGAGACAAATTTCCTGGTGCAAATGACTTTGGAAGTGAAGTCATTCCCGGCGCAACTTCTATTGGAATGAGAGTACGGCTTCATTTCAATTTTGATTCATAAGAAAATTCCTCCTTTTTATTTATATTGATCATTGAGCTAATACCTGCTTGCACTACTTGTGCTTAGAGAAATTTCACAAATGAGTATAAATGTTAATCTATTTAACTGTTTTCTATGTTATGGTTTTCAATAGTTAAAAATAATTTTTCATCAAAACTGCTTCAAAATTTCACTGAAACTTCGTTGTTAGAGTTACTGGCTGTGATTTGCTGGAGGTTTAAACATTTGATTTGTAGAATCTTGCCATCATGGCTCTAATCCCTACTCTCTAAAGGCTTGATGTTACCTTTTTGAATTTTCACAGGTTCAAGCTTACTTATACGATGGCTATTGGGAAGACATCGGTACAATTGAGGCTTTCTACAATGCAAATCTTGGCATCACTAAAAAGCCAGTGCCAGACTTCAGGTGACTGATGATGACTATTTGATATAACCTTCCTATTGTCAATATGCTTTAATGGTGATAGTTAAATGTCTGCAATTTTGGGATATCCATTGCAGTTTCTATGACCGTTCAGCGCCAATCTACACCCAACCTCGATATTTGCCTCCATCTAAGATGCTTAATGCTGATGTCACCGATAGTGTTATTGGTGAAGGTTGTGTAATTAAGGTATGATTATTTGAACATTGACAGGATCCCAATCAAATGTAGAGGAGGCTAACTTTCTTTTTCATAATCTATTGTGCAGAACTGCAAAATTCACCATTCTGTGGTTGGGCTTAGATCTTGCATATCAGAGGGAGCAATCATAGAAGACTCACTTTTGATGGGGGCTGATTATTATGAGGTGCGATTATTTTAACTAAGGTCACTTGCACCTGTACAATCACAATGTAACCGATCCAAGTGATTGAGATCAGGTTACATTAAGTGAACTTGGACAATCAATACTAACTGCGATTCTCTTTTCTGATTGCCTTCTTCCAGACTGATGCTGATAGGAGGTTCCTGGCTGCCAGAGGCAGTGTTCCAATTGGTATTGGAAAAAATTCTCATATCAAAAGGGCAATAATTGACAAGAATGCTCGTGTTGGAGAAAACGTTAAGGTAATTATACCATAAACTAATTTCTTCTCCCTCCTATCTGACATTCTTACTTGCCATTTCTTGTCCACCTTCTCATTCTTAATCTTGCGTGTTTGGGCTTCCTGGGGTGAGGCGTGAGGGGATGAAGTTTTTTAAATGAAATCAGCTTCTTCTTTTTAATTTTCATTTTAGAACTGAATGATAACTTTAATGAAATATGAGACAGTGGCTTTCCAGCACAAAAAGGAGTGTATGCACTGCTTCCATGGAACATATATGTATGCTTTTCTGATGGAAAGTAATCTAACTTGGTTTTATTTCTCAGATCCTCAATGCCGACAATGTTCAAGAAGCTGCAAGGGAAACTGATGGCTATTTCATAAAAAGCGGCATTGTTACAGTGATCAAGGATGCATTGATTCCCGGTGGAACTGTCATCTAAGGAGCTCTGCATGGTTTCCATATCCTGAAGATGGAGATGGAGCACTTTTTCACGGCACAAGGTTTAATAGAGGTCCTGCTTCCACGTTGGAGATATGCTTTGGGGCTAATGATGTATATTTTTGGCTAGGAGCTTGTAAGTAATAGAGGAAAAGACCTGCCCTCTGAGTAGTTGCTATGTAATGCTCTTTATTCGTTTAAATTAAATAAAAGCTTTTAAGCTGTTATGGACTGCATGGTCTATAGCATGTTTAAAATGGGAATAAAGCCTCAAAAGTGAGGAAAGAAACATCTCATCTAAACAGTTATTAATTGATTTCTGGGCTATGCTAAATAAAAATTAGATTCTTTGTGTGCGTATTCAAAGAGAGAAAGGCAAGAAAGCAAGATCAGGTATTGAACTTACTCATCCTCTTATTACTTATATTATTTTTCTTCGATTTCTTCTTTATAATATGTGGTCAATTTGTCATTGTAAAGGATTTGGGTTTAAGGCAAACTAGACACATGGTGCATTACATGGAGTTTGAGATAAGTCAATATTATTCATGACTTGTTCCAAATATGTGGAAAGAAATAGCTAAGCTAAACGTAAGTTCGATTCTTTCATATATTCTGAGAGTGAGACAATGGAAGTAAGACTAGGTATGGAATTTAATCATCCTTTTATTCCTTACTTTTCTTATATTTCCTATCTATTGTATATGATCAATTTGTAATTGTGAAGGATTTAAGCTTAAGGCTAGTTGTACACATTTTTCATTTTTCATGCATTTATATAGACTTTGAAGTGAGTCGGATCATGGCCTGGGATACAACAGGCTAGCTCCATTGGTAGGATGGTGTTGTTCTGTTCAAAGAGAAGAATAAGAAAACATCTACTCAGTTTTGAATGATCGCATAAGAACAGATTGGTGTGTTTCTTTATAATGATTGGATCCCCATTAGTGCCTAGGGCTATGGATAGTTCTGTCACAAATGATTTCTCAAACAAATCAAGAGAAAGGGATTTGCATTGAAAATCTCATCGAGGAATGATTATTCAAAATATTTTCTCACTAACATGAGAATTAAATATGATTCTATATTTCCTCTCGTCCACTCGTATCGGGAATCACAATGCAGGGCAGAATACTCCCGGAAGCTCAGATTAGGGAAAGAAGCAATGAAACAATAATAATATAGTACTATTGAGATTATTAAAAAATAGCATTGAAATTAGCAAAGCAGGTTATCAAAACCTGGTCAATAGAATTAGACCCTCTCAATTTCTTACAAAATTGATGAAGTCAAACTTGGGGGAAAATGAGCACAACATGTGAGATCTACACAGGTTGCGATGTTCATTATTTAAGTAAATTTCATGTACTTCGTATTTATCACTTCTCAAGATTGATAGAGTTAATTCAAATATCTAATCTTTAGTCATCATGTTCTATTTCTAGGGTTAGATGGCCTTTGCCACAATTGGACTCCGCACAAGATGCTTCCCGTCAGACCATATCAGCTTCCCAAACACATGGTTCTTTGCTGTTGTGTGTTCCTCAACCTTCATGATCACTTTAAAGCTCTTTTCTTCACCAAACCTTTTGAATTTCAAGACATTAGGCTTCACAGAAATGGAAATCCCACGTGGATTGTGAACGTGAGCCACATAAGTTGCTGGAGTGCCAACATTTTTTAGGGTCCTTGTGATTGTAGCAGACCGATTAAGATTAGGGACTGTAATGGAAGGATGGTTGAGGTTAAGGATACTTGAGCCTTGCTTGTGGCATTTATAATAATGACCTTGAGTGAAGGTTAAGAGTTGTGAGGCATTGTAACCCAATGCACATAGGAAGTTTAAGTAATCATTGATTGTTGCATCGTAAACAAGGCCCGGATCCATTGCTCTGTTGGGGTCAATATGACCTGCTCCATAACTGAATGGTGTTGCCTGGCCGTTAGAAGCATTAAGCAGTGGCTCCACCTCGTTATCATATGTTGAAGCTGAAAATAGCAAGTAAAACTATCATGTGAGCTTGAATTGGATGTGGTATTAGGAGTAAGTCCAAAGGCAATTATGAATTCTTTAGTGTGCTTTGTCTGTAATATCGTTATCATGTTGACTTTGTTGCCAGATAGAATGATCCGACTTAATATGAAATTGATGTGACTGTTCAGTTGTTTGTGAAAAACGCCATAACGGAGCAATAAAAGAGTTCGGTGCTGCATCAAGGGGTATAAAACTTTATCAAAATATGTTTCCATAACAAATGAACACAATAAAAAACAAATCATCTTCAAATTGAGCTATATCACCTATTTCTGTTAATTATGTTTGTAATCAGACATAATTAAAATGAAACGATTAAACTTTGGAGTACCAAAATCTTAATCCGCTCTTTTGAACTTTCAAGAGCTTCAGGATTTAAACTGATCAGGTATGTGCGTGCATTTTGAAAATATCAAGGAATGTATTCACTTTAATTTTTCAATTATTATGACAGAAACTGGTACGAGTAGAAGGATTTTTTTTTTTTTTTAAATTTTGCCGCTCAAGAGTAAAAGGGATTAACTATAAAGAAGCTAAAGAACTTCTCACCAGTAGTCATGATTGCAGATTTAATAGCAGCAGGAGTCCATGAAGGATAAAGGCCTCTCAAGAGGCCGACAATGCCTGAAACATGAGGACATGACATTGAAGTGCCTGAGCCTGAATTATATGGAATTCTTCTTGTGTCAAACGGTTGGTTTGTTGGCCCTGCGGCTTCTGTGTAGGCTGCTATAACTGAAACTCCAGGTGCAGTTATATCAGGCTGCGAAATTGAGACAAGTGTTAGTTGAACTTCTCGCACAAGACATGAAGGAAAGGCGCCTGCATTCTTTGCATTGAATAAGTAAATATATTGTGTATAAGGAAGAGATAAGACAGAGTTAATCTTGAAAGAGATGAAGTAAAGCACTAAAGCCTACATATGCTTTCAATTTTTATGTCATTTTCTCTTCTAAATATACAATACATTACTCATGATGATCTTAATGAGGGAAAAGAGCTTGCTTTTTTCCCTTTTTTGGTTTCCTCCTTTGCATACCTTTAGGATTTCTGGTATAACAGGATTTGGTCCTTTTGATGAAAATGCTGCCATGAAGGGGGCTGGCTTCGTATGCAACTTTGTTGTTGGGTGCGTAATGTAAGCCACTGGGGACCTAGCAATAATTATACAAAGTGGAGTTTAAGTTGACGTTAAAATTATAGAAGTTAAATTATTCTCTTAATCTTTGTAATTTTATTTAATAGTTAACTTCCATTGTTAAACTTCTGACAATAATTTCATTGAGTTTATAAATCTAAATACTATCATATATTATTTCAATACTTCAAAGTGAGACCCACAACTTAAGAAGCCTACATAATGTTTTTTCAAAATGAACACGTGTCAATGATAGATATCTTACTTGGTCGATTTGACGTATTTAAAAATTGAAATGCCATCAGTGTAATTGACATGAGAAGCAGGGAGTACATGGGGATCAGCCATTATTTCATTGCCACTAATCTTATCGTTTGCAAGAACCATTCCAACAGCACCTGCAAGTAAAGCTTGCTCTCCTTTGTCCACCCTTGCATTTTCTCCTCTCAGACATACCACTATCTTCCCCTTCGCCTTTTTCGGATCTAGTGTTCCATTCTGGCACAACCTCCTGCATTCATCTCTCCATATGAATTGTTATCTTCATCATTTAAACACAATTCATTTCAATTGCAATTTAATAATGTGGAGTGAGAATGTCCTTTTGATCTTTTGAAGAGAATCTGCTGTCAGTAATTATATTGAAGCTATTAATTTATAACAAAATAAATTCTTCTCAAATTACTTCAGAGGAAGCTCAAAGAGCGAAAGACAAAAAGAAACGAGATTTCCTTTTACCCTATATGCATCTACATTATCTCTCTGTTTACCAAACCCCCCCCCCCCCAAAAAAAAGAAAAGAAAAAGAAAACTTCCTGTAAAGTTAACTTCATACACAATATGTAAAAATAGACCCATGGTTTAACATGAAATTGATAGTGTTTTTATATACCCGATTATAGAAAGCTTGCTGTCACAAAACACTTAAATCATATTTATTTGTTATAGCTACTTGACTACATCGAGTGATATAATGCTCAATCATGACATGTTTCTTCAGTAACTGGCCATTTGATATTGCTAGGAAACCATTCTTGAGGTACCTCAAGAATAGTTTTCCCTTGTTAATTGTCCCGTAGCCAAAAGCCTTGCACCGAAAACCACCAAAATAACATGGTGATTTGACTACTTCAAATGAAACAGTGATCTATCATAGCGCTTTTTGACTAACAAATGAACGTGAAGACTACAGTATTTTAGGCCACCAATCTCCTAATTCTTAAAGACAAAAGATTGAACCAAAATGGGGTGGTCAAATTTTGAGAGATGAAATAAATACAATGATGTATCCTTCAAAGATGAAAATGTGATTTCACCCGAAATCATATAATAGCGATGAGCAAGACCAGAATGGAATTCAATTATTATATTTGTACTTACGCGTCCTCAGCATTTGCTGTAGGCTTTTTAGCATCGAGACCAGTGATCACTGGGTATAAGTTGGGCCGCAACCTTGCAGCTGACAAGCTTTCTCCCTTCAATACAAACGTTCGGTATTAGCCGCCTAACATTCTTCCACAAAACAGTAAAACAGTATTTTCAATAGATCATGCCAGACTTTTCAGCGCAAAGACTAGATCAGCTACGGGTCTATCTCGTGGGAGGAAAATCCAACAGAAACATGTTGGAATAATTAGTGAACTATTGGAATAAGTATACCTTCAAAATTAAAATTAGTTTAATAACCTAAAAAATGAAATGACTGAAGACTCAAAATGTGAGAATGATTAGGCAAGAGGTGAATGAACCTTGAAGGTGAGGTTGTTGCCAAGAGTGACGTAAGCTGGGAACTGTCTATCCATGGTGCTGGCAGCGACGGTGAGGAACCACGGTGCGAGGTTCTCTACGGTAGCATCGTCTGGTCCACTGTTTCCGGCGGAACACACCACGGAAATGCCTCGCTTGGCCGCATGAAATGACCCAATGGCAACGCCGTCGTTGAACAGTTCGGAGGACGCTCCTCCCAACCAAGGAAAAAAAAACCGGACCGGACCGGCCGGTTCAACCGGAAAACCGGTGAACCGGTCCACAATCCGGTCCGGTTTAACATGAAAACCGGCCCCCTAATGAACCGGTAAGCAACCGGTAAAACCGGTATTTAACCGGTCAACCGCCCGGTTTGGGGGTTGACCGGTTATATATTTTCCCCCCCAGTTATCCAAAACGA